TACCCTAGCCTAAAATAGTGCAATATCTTCGTCTAACCTTTCGTATAGTAAAGCTATGCCTAGGCTAGCCCAATATCTCTACCTAGGCTAGCCCGATCGATATCTCTAGGCTAGGCCTAGGCCGTCGCCTACTCTGGGCGTAAGGCGGCAAACCTCGAGTTCACTTCACTAGAGCGCGTTTGTCATGCATACAATTGCCGTATTCGATTGGGACTATATGTTGAGTATGTTATCCCGTTGAGTACAAAACTCAACGATAAATTCCGAGCGTTAACTTCGTTGAGCAGTTTCCGTCGAGCAGAGCACGAAAGTCTCAATCGAATACGGCCGATGATTTCCGATGAATTCTGGAATTTCCCGTTATACTGGCCCTCTATGTCAGATTGTATGGAAAAGTTTCATGTGAAGACGTCTGAGACGTAACATCGGGAACATTCCGATTGTATACAGTAACAATGATTCCTAAATTTTATATGTTGAACAAAACTAGACGGGAAATGTCAACAAGTCTGTAGAATGGCGGCCATTTTGAAAAATAAAAAAGGCCGCTTCCTCAATTTAAAAAAAAAGCCGGACGTGAAACATGTTTTTTTTTTTACTTGGCCTAACAACAACATACATATGAATGAATTCAATAATAAAAAGACTGGGGAAACACAATATCAAACAAAGCAGTAGACAATTCAAATAAATAAAACTTTAAAATACATTGGACAAAATATGAGGCAAAACAATTTATGTACAGTAATTAAAAGTTAAAAAAAAATGTGAAAAAAGAAAGAAAAATAAATAATAATAAAAATAATTGGCAGGGCCTATGCCCGGCCTAGCCTAACTAAGTAGTAGTAGAGTAGGTAGCTAGGCCCTATTTGTACGAAAAACTAGGTACTACTTAGGCTAGGGCTATAACTACTACTACAGTACAGACAGACAGTAGGCCTAGGCCTAAGTTAGCTACGAAGGTAGGGTAGCCTAGGCCTAGTCTGAACTGGATTTTTATTTATTTTTTTTTACATTAGTATGGTTCTATCGTATTCTTATCTTACCTTTTCTATCGGAACACTGCATCATCAGCTGCTGCACCGTCCTAGCTAGCCTAGCCTAGGCTAGGCCCAGTCTAGGCCCAGCCTAGGCCCTCCCCTAGTACTAGTAGTGCTGGCCCAGCTAGGCTACGGCTTCGTCGGCTAAGCCTAGGCCTAGAGGCTGTATGAAACATCAAATCAATCAAGTTGTGTTGAATATTAAGTCTTGCATCAATGAATTATCCTTGCCTTGTAGTTATCAGTGAGCAAACCAGCTATTATTGTTGTATTTTGTACCTTAAAATCTCAGATATTTGTCAAACATTGGTAGACTCCACTGGTACCTGGTACTGCACACACAATAAATTTGAATGTGGATCCTAGGTTTCCATTGGTCAGTTTCGTAAGGTTAAAGCAAAGATACTAAAGATATTTCTAGTATCTTTGGTTAAAGCTAAAGGAGTGGCCAATGACGGCAGGGCATATAATGATGTAATTCACTCCACTTGTGTGGGGAGGGGGGTCGGAAACCTGGAATGCCATATCACTACCACATGGAGGAT